ATCCAAGTTGAACAAGTTTCAGCAAAGCTCCAGACTCAGAACAGACTACACTTCTGAGCGATCAGCCACCGAAAATCTTATGAATACAATAAATACTTCTGACATATCCTATAGATTATCTAACAAAGAAATCCAATAGTTGACATAGCAAAAAAAGCTAGCCAGTGCAGCAACTTTAAAACAATGCTGCTGTAAAATGAACTATGAGAAAAAGAAGAAAAATGGGTTTTCCCTAAAATAAAACTTTCCTGGGTCAAACCAACCAGCTTTACTGTAAATGTACAATTTCTAACGCCCTAAAACAGACTAAAGAAAAAAAAAAAGGTATTGTCTGTTTTGCGATTATAGCCAAAGGCTGGTAATATGAGTTGGTCGGGTACAATGTTAATTTTTGAGAAAGAAAGTATTGAAATAAAATGCCTATGTTAGAAAAGGTAATTATAGCAAAAAAATGACTATTTCAAGGAAAAAACAGTGTTAGCACAAAAAAATCAATAATCTGCTATGTTATAATCTAATCTCTTTATAAACCATTCCCATGATTTCTCAGGATCAAGAAAAAACAACTTTGGGATGTTAGATTCTCAAATGTTTCCTAGTTTATTGAGCTATGTAGCAAGATTACACTCTCCTTATACATATAAATGTATCGATTGACTAGGATGAATCATAGGAAATTGGTCAATATTTGTCCATTTCCCCCCGACTCAAAGGCACAACTTGATATGTCCAACACAGGAGCAAAAGTCATCTGGAGCACTCCATCATGATCCTGTCTATGGCGTTGCTAAGTCTTGGCAGTGCCACTCAAGTAGACAAGGTCGGAAATGGGACTCCAGTTAGGAAAACAAACTTTGGGATAGTTACTTACTTTATGTTTAAGTTGGATAAACAAGCACACAAAAAATCCACTGCCATAGAGTAGATTCCGCTTGCTGGTGACCCGACCGAGCAGTGGTTCTCAACCTGTGGGTTGCAACCCCTTTGGGGGTCGAACAACCCTTTCACAGGGGTTGCCTGAAGCATAACCGTAGCAAAGCTGCAGTAATGAAGTAGCAACGAAAATAGTGTTATGGCTGGGGAGTCCCCACAACATGAGGAACTGTATGAAAGAGTCGCTGCACTAGGGAGGTTGAGAACCACTGCTAGAGAGGATTTCTGAGATTTGAATCTTTATGAGAACAGCTAGAATCTTTCTCCCAAGGAGCAGCTGGTAGGTGTGAACCACCAATCTGCAGTTAGCAATCTAATGCTTACCAAATAGCACTGCCAAGACTCCTTGAAGTCCGGTTAGAAGGCTTTCACTGCAGGCTCCCCTTTACCTCCTCTCCCACCATCCAACCTTTTGCCACAGACACAGAACTTTGTTTATCAACTAGAAGTTTATCTATTATGATTACAGGGAGGGGAGTAGGGATTCCTTGCTAAACATCCTGCTCTCCTCTCTTTTCCCTCAACGTCTCTTTCCTATTTCCATTTATATCATTCATTGTCTACTATTATTATAATTTCCGGAGTTTGTACAAATCTGCTTCACTTCATCCTCAGATCTAAAAATAACCACAGAAATTGCTCACAAAATCTGTGTAGTTTGCAGTAAAGTTAGAAGGGTCCCTAGTTTCTAATCTACTATGAAAAGTTGTATTTGAAAATAATTTTAGAAATATCATTTTCAAGACAGTTCTTAACTTGAAAAATGAGGTGATTTTCAATATGATTAATTAAGCAAAGCAAAAAAGTTTTTGGTACTAGGTACAATATACTTTTAAGGAGCCAAGATATCAATTCAAATTATTTCAATGGATAGAACTGAACAGACATGAGAGAATAATGACTTCTGCCTAGGCTCTAACTTGCAGAAAGGGTGTACCAATGGGCAGGTAAAGGCATTCTCTCTAGACTGGCATGAGCACCGCTTTTACAAATTGTCCTTCAGGCTTTTACTCCTCTGAGCCAGATGTCTATGTTTTACATATTCAATTGCTTCGGTCATGGTGAAATATTGGCATGTGCAGGACTGCCGATTATACAGCCTGCTTTAATATGTGTCTCTACTTTATGCAACTAGCCTTGATTTGAAAATCCTGGCTAATTCAGTGTTGCTACCCCTAATGTAAAGACGCTATAGTTAAAAGGATAAGAGAAAGCTGAGTAGCTATACTCAGTATTTCCGTCACTTAGAGAACAGATATTACAAAACAAGTCATACTCAGAATTCTATGATGAATCCTGAACATTCAAAGCTTGAAAATCATATTAAAGTCCCAATGTGCACTTCTGAGATACGAAACAAGGTACAAAATGACACCTTAAACGTTCTGTTTTATACAGCCATGCCGTGTTGGATTGCACTGCATTTTACTGCACTTTTTACAAATTCAAAGATTGAGGCCACACTGCATACAGCAACTCTCTGAGAGCCATTTTCTTGAAATGCATCCTTCAGGTATCTGTGTAATTTTCACAGTATTTCGAACTTTTAAATTAATACAATATACACAGAACTTTTTGATTCGCAGAAAACACACAAAAGGCACAGAAAACAAAAACATGAATGTGACTGGCTTGAGTGTGATGGTCTGAGGCGTGTCTGAGACTCTGGTTGCTCTCAGACTTAATCAGACGTATTCAGAGAAGCAAAAGGAAAACCACCCCAATCTGCTGACTTTATCAACACACAAAAATAAAGGGGTAGAGACAGCTGCAGTCTTAAATATTTGGCACTTCTGTTAGTTTACTACACACACCTAACACAATACAAGACAAACAATAAACCCGAGAGTCAACTATGGTTAACTCAGCCCTTAGTTATATTTGTCCCCCCCTTTGAGAGGTTATTTTTGTCCCTTTTAATGGCCTATATAAGTTTTGAATTTGGGAGAGGGGTATTAAACTATCATTACATAGATGTTAAGGTAATCTGGACTGTAAACAATTCTATGCATTCTGCTTCTTGAACCAGTCTGAGGACCCATGGCCTATAGAATCAAGTTCTAGGTCTCTATTTCTAAGATACCATTCCAACTCTACCTTCTCCTTACATGTCTCTGAAAAGCAATTAATTCCTCCTTGTTCTTTATCTGATGAAATCCAATTAGTCCTTTAAGCCTCAGTGGACCTCTTGGTGACTTAAGTCATTGCTCTCATGGTTCACTGATGCACCTAGCCCATTTTATTTTATTTCTTTTAGTAAATGACCGACTCCTAAATTAGTTTGCTGAGGGCAGATGTAATACACAATTTATCTTTAAATCACAATGTCTGACACTTATTAAATATATGCTGGAATAATCAGTGAATTTAACTGAATGACAGAGTTGAATCGTTGATTATTACAATTTTTGAGTTTCTTTTCCTTTTTTTAAAATACTTTTATTGGTGGCTCTTACATCTCTTATCACTATCTATACATTCCTCCAGTGTGTCAAGCACATTTGCACATATGCTGCCATCATCATTTTCAAAGCATTCTCTTCCCACTTGAGCCCCTGATATCAACTCCCCATTTCTTCCCCCTCCCCACCCTCCCTCACGAACTCTTGATACGTTATAGATTATTATTTCCATATCTTACATCATCCTCTGTTGCCCCTCACCCACTTTTCCATTATTCGTCCCCCTGGGAGGGGGTTCTAGATTGATCCTTGTGATCGATTCCCCTTTTCTCCCCCCACCATGCCCTAATCCTACTGGTATCTGCACTCAATTATTGGGTTTCTTACTTCTAGAGAATTTTATCTTTCTAGTTCATATCTTTCTAGTGTAGTATATCACATTATAACCATTACATATAATTGTTAGAGAACACTTTCAATTCATGTTTGATAATACAGACAGAAAACATAGCAGTAGTTGAAAACAACAAAACCCCTTGAAAAGGGGGATGGACAACAGAAAAAAGGGTGAAGGGAGATGTCGGACAGTGTAAGATATGACAAAACAATAATTTATAAATTATCAAGGGTTCATGATGGAGGGGGATATGGGGAGGGAGGAGAAAAAAATGAGGAGCTGATATCAAGGGCTCAAGCAGAAAGCAAATGTTCTGAGAATGATGATGGCAACAAATGTACAAATGCACTTGATCCAATGGATGGATGATGGATGTGGTAAGAGTTGTACGAGCCCCAATAAAATGATTCAAAAACAAGCCCTTGAGAACCATGTCAATGTTGCATTTGGGTAAATTCATGAAAACGATGCAATATTTAAGTCATCAAGTTATATTAAGGTTCCAGTCCATTCTTTTTTCTAATAGTTAAATCATTTTATTGGGGGCTTGTACATTCTTATCACAATCCACACATACATCCATTGTGTCAAGCACTTTTGTACATTTGTTTCCCTCACCAGTCCATTCTTAAAAACAGAATTAATTGCAAAATACTGTTAATTCTAGGACCACATGCTAGATAATCAATATTGTCTTTCAATATTATCTTTTATATCCCATATAGAAGAATGTTACATCTAGCTCAAGGTAAGTTTTTGTAAAGACAAAAAACAAACAAACAAAAAACCTGGCTGAATTTTTCCTAACTAGAGCTTAGATAATTCAACAGATAAACATACAAATTTAAAAAACTGGATAAAAGATTCTTTAGCGATCATTACTACATTCATTATTGCGAGTAAAATTCTATAAAATAAACATCCCGCCTGCAAGTTTTCAGTGAGCAGTTCTCACCTCAGGTTTTTCTTGTGTTAGAAACTACTTATTATATACCCGTATTCTCAATTTTATTTTTCATCCCATCAAGTATTCCCAACCAACTTATCTATATCATTACTGGACATATGAGCAACCACAAGGTATTTTTAACACGCGCTAAAGCTCATGGTTTACATTTGTTTTAAATATTTTACTTGCCTGAGTCTGACTGGTCAAGGCCTTTGGCCTCTGGACAGTGCTAATGTACATGGATGCTTTAAAAGTCAGCATGTTAAGATGAAAACCAAAGATACCATATGGAAGGTAAAAAACAATCAGAACTACTTACAGCCAGAAAGCAGGAACTGGTAATACTGTACTGCGTCTGCAGCGAGGAGCAGAGGGTGGTTTGCGTTAAATGGTGGTTGCAATTCATTCCATTGAGGGGTTCTAAGGAAACAGCAGAGCATATTAATATTTAAGCTTAATAGAGGGGATGTAAATCACAAACACTGTCATCACTTATAGATACTGATATAAACTCACACTATCTGTGTAATCTTTAAAATGAACTTATTGGAGTGCTGAAACCTGAAACACGAGGCCATCTGTTTAAGGAGAATAAAAAGATGGCAGTGAGTCAGATAAATTACAGGCAGTCAATATTAACCTACGCGTAGAAGATTCTCCAATAGGAAAAAGACAGTTGGAAAATTGGACAGAATATGTAGAATTGAAATGTTACACGTAAGCAACTAATTTTACCTAAGTTTTGACCATTGTTAAAATGTCTTTTCAGAACCCACGCATAGTTTTAAAGAAAATAATGCTAGTAAAAAATAAAAGTTTAAGCCTTCAGTTGTGTAAATAGATGACTTATTATAGACCTAATTAGCATCTGAGTTCCAAATTAAGCCATCCATTTCAACAACGATGGTGCTGGAATTTTAATTAGATTTACTCACTCCTAAATGGCTTGATAAATCAGATATTGATTAGATCAATTCCAAAGCCATAAAGCAGTAAAGAATGCTGGAGCCTCTAAAAATCAATATAAGAATATTTTAAGATGTCAAAAGCAGAGGGATCGTTTTCATATCCATTTTTGTCTGTTTCCGTCCATACATGTCAGGGACAATTTTTCTGTCGCTCCTGGACAATGCACTGTAGCTTGAGCTATTTCCAGGTTTTACTTTCCCCTCTTTGTGCTAGCTTGTAAAGATTCTAATCATTATGCACTTTGGGAAGGACTGATTCTTAACAAACATCTCTACCGTACTTACCCATTGTATCTTGAGGAATGACTTTAAAGGAAAGTCATACAATCTATTTATATGACACACACCACACCCCGCTTAATGGCTGTTTCACTGCTACCTCGTATTTTGAGTGAACATGAAGCTGAAAATTGAGGGAATCACTGAGGAACCGATAAACAAGTCGAAGGGAAAATAATACAAAAAAAGCAAGGGATTAAAAAAATTTCAAAGGGAGGTAATTTCCTAGATGTGTAGTCACAGAAATGGAAAACATGCTTGTTTCAAAGCTTAAAGGCAAATGTGGATAGCAGCACTGTTCTGGATAGTCAAAGGAGGAGACAACCCAGATGCCCATCAACAGAACGGATAAACAAAGTGCGTCTGTAAAATGGAGTATAAAAATGACTGACGGATGGACTCTTTGACACATACTACAACATGGATGAACCTTAAAAACATGACATCATGTGGAGAGAAAACACAGTCACATATTGTATGCGCTACCGTGACTAGCACAGAAGAACCAGAGGCAGAGCACCGAAGTGCTATGGCCAAGAGCGGGAGGGATGGCACTGGGAAGGGAGCTGCTGCACTAATGCTCTGTTGGGGCCATCAAGTTTGTCCCGCCCCATAGTGATCTCCTGCACAAGAGACAGTACACTGCCGCTCCTGCACCATCCTCACAATTGTTCCTGCGCTTCAGCCCATTGGGGGACGATGAAAATGTTCCAAAACTGATGGTGCTGACGAGTGCACAAACTTGTGAAACTACATTTTAAAGGACACACATACAAATGTCCATTTATACAACACTCCAGAAAATGCAAAGACATTTCTAGTGATAAATAATAGAAGATTGGTGACTGCTTGGGACTCAAGGTAAGAGAATACAAAAGGGTATCAGGAAAATTTTGTGGGTGATGAATGCTTATTACCATATATATTTGTGTATAAGATGAGTTTTTCAGCACATTTTAAATGCAGTTTTTGTGGTAAAATTAGGTGCCCCAGCTGATATTGGGTCAGCTTATACTTGAGTATATATGGTAAATTGACTGCAGGAATGGTGTTAGAGGCATGTACACATCAAAACTTATAAAATGGTGTGCCTTTAATACTTTATGCCTCAAGAAGCACTGGAGACACAGTGGGCAATGAAGTGGTTAAGAAAAAACAAAAATAGGAGACACTACCTGACCAGAGTCCAGCTGGCCCGAGGTGACGTCATCATTTCCAGTGGCGTGTCATCACTAATCTTAGGGGCCGTACTTAGGGGCCGTGGCTCCATCATGTGTTCCACTAAGGTCCCATAGCAGCTGATAATGTACAGAGATTCAACTATGACTTGTTTTGACTGATCTGCAAGAAAAAGAAGCAGAGGCTGGCTGTGAGAGGGCAGCAAAAGGAGCCCTATCATCTTCACAAGTTAACAGCTTTGTCAGTCGGCCATTGAGGCTGCTCAGAGAAGTAAGGTGGCAAGGAATTTTTCACACGGTGCCTGCTTTTCGCCCAATGGTTGTCCAGTCGACGTAGATGCTAAAGGATTTCAAAATCTCTATTATTCTCAAAATACTTCCAAATCTTAAACCAATTCTTTCCTAAAGAATGTAAATATATCCAAATTCCTAATAGTGTTTACCAAGGGTTTTAGTCTTTTGTATTTCTCTGTAATGTAATTATGCAAATAATGCTAGCTGGGACAAGAAAGGCGATGCTATATGGATTAAGCTTTAGTTATAGCGGAAATACTACACGTAGGCTTCCCGTATTCCCAAATCAGCCTTATTTTTCATCTCTCCCTTAGAAAACTTTACCTTTTAAGTTTCTAGATAAAAATAAACAAAGAAAAATGTGATCTTTCCCCAACCCCTCTTATTTCCTTTCTTTCAATGGGATCACTGTCTGCCTCACCCCTGAAAAGCAAATGAAGACTGGTCATACTTTTGAGAGATCAGTTCCTGAATATGGATCTAATCAAATGACTTTATAAGGCACACACATGTCTTAACTACAAAAACAGGTTTTGTACTATATCTCAGATTTTATAGTAAACGCAGGAACATATAAAATCACTCATGAATGTTGGGTGGGTCACCTTATCGCTATGCCAGCTGAATCAATTACAGCTGATTTGAGAAAATGGCTAATGACCAGCCAAGGGAATATAAAAGAGTGGCAAGTTAAAAGGGTAATTAGAACAGAAGGGAGAAGCATTTGAAATCGAGCTTCACAGAAGGTTTTAACTAGCAACAAAAAGTCCTTTCGATAGCATCACTAAAGCTGAGGAGGCAACAGAAAAATAAAGATGGGATAAGGGAATGGAAGGCTTGCATACTGTACTTGTCCTCTCCCACTTAGGTAAGAAACCTGCTGTACCTGAGATCGGCTTTCCATCGACAGGGTCACTGAAAGGCGATAAGAATGGAAAGGGCTGATGTCTGGCTGCCAGTGTGAAGTACAAAGGAGAGTCATTTTGCCAAGAACAATGCAGCCGTGGAACTAGTCAGAGAAGTGCCCTGCTAACAAACCAGTTTGTGCCCTACTTCAATTAGACCAAAACAGGGAGGGGAACTGTTTAACATTCAAAATTATACACCCGTCTGTGAGAGTAGATCTATGAATCTGTATAGACAATGACCACTTGTCTATTAAAACAGGAATTGCATAAACATTTTAGGCCTTGACTCTGGTGATCAAAGCAGGAATAAAAACAAACCAGCAAGCAAAATATACCTATTACTCACGTCAACATGGTTAGGTTCCAAAGAACAGATCATTATGTGAAAGTTAGCATGTTGGGAAAATGTTAGATGATCACATCAGGTCAAAAAATGGAAGATGACTACATCATTTCTTTTTTTTAAATAATCATTTTATTAGGGGCTCATACCACTCATCACAATCTGTACATACGTCATCTATGTCCAGCACTTTGGTACATATGTTGACTTCATCATTCGTACGACACCCACTTTCCACTTCAGCCCCTGGTGTCAGCTCATTTTTCCCTCTCTCTCCGCCCGATAATTTATAATTTATTATTATTTTATCATATCTTACCCCATCCCACGATTCCCTCACCCACTTCTCCGCTGTCCGTCCCCCAGGGAGGAAGCCACATGCAGACCTTGTCCTCTGTCCCCCTTTCTCCCTCACCTTCCCTCCACCCTCCCACTATCACCACTCTCTCCACTGCTCCTGGGGGGCTCATCTGTGCTGGGTTCACTATATTTCCAGTTCCTATCTGTGCCAGTGCACCTCCTCCAGTCCAGCCGGATAGACTACATCATTTCTTACAGCCAAATTTCATCATTACATAACAGTCAAACCACTGGAAACCTTGGGCCAAGGTTACACATAAACTTTAACCCCTACCAGCATTAGTTCTGCTGTGTACTTCAATGTTTAGATGATTCTTAATGTACAAAATAGTTGGATAGATTTTTTTCTCTATTGTAATATTTTTATACTGTAAGTTTTATTAGATTTTTTAAAATTATAATGTAAATGTGAAGAAATATCAGATTAAAAGATAGTTGCTAAGTAAGGAGTATTTATCAATCCAAAGGAACAATAATAACCTCAAAAAATGTCCCTTCTTTCTCGACCACAGTCTGTTTTTCTCCTTTAATTTGCAAACAAGAACATCAGAGTTGTTCTTGTTGATTAAAGGCAGGATTTAGCATTAGAAGACCAGGGATCTAACTCTGATTCCACTACCCACTAAATAGTGCTTTAGCAAACATATTTAAGCTTGTTAATCTCAAGTTTCTCATCTCTAAAATAGGGGTAAATGAGGGTTTTCCTCTTCATACGTCAAGGAATTATTGTAAAGCTTTAATAAGATAATAGTACGATATTGGCTTATAAAAAGATAAAAGCTTACGTGTACTGTTGAGAGCACCTGCACACTTGTCGGTAACTCAGTCCACGGTTAATAGTAAGGAGATGGCTCTCCTTCTTAACCAGGCTTACGTAGCCCGGAAGTGACATAATAATTGAAAATAAAAATCGAGCTCCACATTGTTGGGTCCGAGGCTATTCAAAGGATATCTGCTAGCAATGTGCTCCAAGAAGCAAAAATTACGTCAGGTAAATTTCAACTTCAATAAAAAACACATACCTTTTTCTCTTTTAAGACCTGCATTATTTGCAAACCATGATCTGGATGTTCCAAAGATAGCAGCCACGCAAAATTCTCCGCCCACTGATTTGCTGGGTGAAATTTGAGGAGGTGGTTTAACTTTGCTTTAAAAAATAAAATGATAGTGAAAAATTAACATGGTGAAATCAATCTCCAAGCTAATGGCAGATTCTCTTTTAAACCCCACCCCTAAAATCCCACCTCCAATGCTAACATGCATTTTATTTTGCCTGACGATATGTGATCATGTTCTGATATACCACTAAAATTAATTGACAGTTCCAGAGTCTTGAACACACAAAAAAATAACTTCTCTTTGAGATATGTGCTAGTGAAATCCAAATCACTTTTCAGATGGCTAAAATGCCCCTGGGCATTTCAAGATGGAGTAACAGAACCAGTCTGAGCATCTCATAACAACAAAACAGTTTATGATTTGATTTAAATACGTATATATAACGTGAGACCAACAATACAAGTGAATGGAGACAGAATGTATGAAACCATCAGATGACAGAATAAACCGTGAAAATTCTTTCAGTCATAAGATTATACAGAATTAACGCATGGAAAGAAGATCTTAGGTACCAAATCTCATAGTTGTTATTTTGTTTCTTGCATCTATGAAAATGATAAGATTGTTGCTGATCAGAGAAAAGAGTATAGCAGAAATAAATGACAACAGCCTATGTCTAAAAAGCCTCTCCTATGTAAATCCTTTGTTTCTCCTATGTTTTAGGGCATGTTCAGTAATTGCTGTTATTTCAAATAACTACCACAAAATGTACTTCTTTACGGTTTTTTTGTTTTTGTTTCTCTGAATCAGTTTTCATAGTCTTGATATGGAAAACCAACCTTTCTTGTTCTTTTGAGTTCCGTACCTGTCTTCACTTCGGACTTATCAAGGGCTCTACTATAGCTCATCAGTGACTTTATCAACCAACATAAATAAATGAGATTACTTCCTCTCATTCATAGACCAGAAAACAGCCACCCTGTGCACTGGCCAAGTGGGACACAATGGGCAGTAGGGCTCTGAGGTTCCCACACAGCATCAGCAGTTCTACACCTTGTGGGCTCACTTCCCTTTGACGCTCAATCTTTTAAAAAGTAGTGGGAAGGAAAAAGACTGCTTTTTGGAGCCAGAAGAAAAAGGAATCTGAATTCCAGGCCTGTTACTTACTAGTGGTGTGACTTTGATCATTTAACTACTCAGCGCTCCGAATACTAATATGTAAAATAAAGGCAGTTACGTTGGTCACATAGGGTTATTTTAAAGAATTATCATACTGCATTGGTTCTCAAGTGTAGCCCTTGGCTAGCAATACCACTTAGGAACTATTTACATAGGCAAATACTCAGACCCTACCTTAATCCTACTGAATTAACAACTCTGAGATGAGGGTCCTAATCTCTGTTAGAGTAAACCCTCCATCAGTTTCTGATGCAAGATCAAGTAACGGAAGGACAGAAAGCTTGTAACCCTCTCAGGGCAGTGTCTTCCCTTGTCACTGTACTCTCAACAAGTGTCAATTTGTGTGTGTGTGTGTGTGTGTGTGTGTGTGTGTGTGTGATTGTTGTCACCTAATGTTTGGACAATCTAAATGTGCTATGATAACCTTCTTCCCTGGTCTTTAAGACATTAGAAATAGTCTTTCACATATCTGACTTCCTAAGCCATCTGTTATAATGTCTTCGCTCTAGAGCAGTGATTCTCAACCTATGGGTCGTGACCCCTATGGGGATTGAACAACCCTTTCACAGGAGTCGTCTAAGACCATCGGAAAACACATAAATATTTCCCAATATAATTACATATTGGTTTGTGATTAATCACTATGCTTTAATTATGTTTAATTATGTTCAATTTGTAACAATGAAAATACATCCTGCATATCAGATATTTACACGACGATTCATAACAGTAGCAAAAATACCGTTATGGAGAAGCAACAAAAATCATTTTATGGTTGGGGGTCACCACATACAAGGAACTGTATTAAAGGGTGGCAGCATTAGGAAGGTTGAGAACCACTGCTCCAGAGAAAGCAAGAAATGTATAACACAACCATTTTGACCGATCTCTTTGGTCTCCCCTCTGTCCTAAGTCTTCAGTAATGCACACTGTTAGACCAATCCCCAAACAAACCACACCCATGCCTAAAATACCAGTACAGATAGAGCCCTAAACTGGCAGGAAATGAAGACATGGGGGGAGTAGGGGTAATATGTGGAGTTTTGTGAAGAAAATTAATCAAGTTCTACAAAAACTTTCCCTTCAGAGTTTCATCCCCCTCAACAGCAGCAACTTAACTCCGAAAAGAAAACTCCTCTCCACACAACAAAAATCTAGGCTAATGATCTCAGAATTGTTCAATCTAGTTATGATGCTCTCTGTTGGATTGTCTTAGAATGTAATTTTCCTTCAAAACCTTTATTTCCAACACTGAACTAAGATTATTAAGCTGAAAAATCCCTGTAGGCTGGCGGCTTTGAATTTCCAGTAGTCATTTTCAACCCTGGTGGGTTTGGGAAGGTTGAGAGGGGGAGGGAGGATGCCATTCTAGAATTTTTTTTAAAAGGTCTTTTAATGGTGTGACTATGTGCTTTTATTCAAACAGCTCCTGATATTAGAAAAAACCATCAGGGAACAAAGAATGATACTGAGAATATACAAATTAAGACTCACCGGAATAAAATCTATAACCAGACTCTTAAGAAAAAAGAAACTCAAAGATCTTTGCAAAATACTGGATGCTATTTTTGCTTGTGTTTACATCATGTGGTAAGCAACAAGATAGAAAACAACTAGGTATTCCAATTCTTAAGAGAAAATATAGTTTCTCTAAATTGTGCATCCTACATTGGCTTAAAAGATAGTTATTACTGGACTGAGTGGCCACCTTTCAAATATAATAATAAGCAGAAATGAGATAAGACACTGACTTAAATCTTTGAACATAAAAACACATTTATTAGCTTACAGAATTATCAGTCACTCAATGGCCAAAGCAAAAATTGGTTACACTTTTATAGTGTTGGACTTAACTCAGTTTTTGAACACACAAATAAAAAAATATCAATGAAATAATAAAACTTGCTTTGTGGTTGGCTGGCAACCAACAGCAACTCATAGAGATCCTGAAGGTAATTAAGTATTCTATGCTAAATGTAAAGAATTGTCATTACTATTCCCATACTTTTTTCTTCTGATAGGGAATTAATAATCTCAATAGTAAAAAAGTATGTTTAATAAGTAATCAAGCAGTCAAAAGGCTCTTCATTCCTGCAACTAACTTTGCTGCATGCTACATGCCATGTTTCCTGAGTATGACGCCTATTTGGTGAACTTCTTGAGCTCACGTTTCTCTGTCATCAAACACACATTGGGATATTCACAATGTTTATGCAAAATGGAAACATTTCTTAAAAATTTGTGGGAAAATTCCATAATCTTTTAATTCCATTTTACATTTTTTTGAAGCACCTTCATATTTTCTACTCAATTAACCCAAAGGGAGAAATGTTTACTTTTATCAATTCACCCCCGGTACCCCAAGTTTGGAAAAGATCAAGTCCAGGAAGTCAGGGAAAGAAGAATGGCCTTTGAGAGTGTGAATCAGGGAAATTATTGAATACGAACTTGATAATTCTATTTCAAATTTCTATTTCAATGTCCCCCAAATTTCGTTTTCAAATTAACCATTTATTGGCCAAAAATGCTTATATAAAGTTGAAAGAAAAAAGTAATCACATAAATCGTGTTTTCTTACTGTGAAAAGTCTTTCTGTGATTTCTATCAATCGCTTTGGGAAAGTATTCCAATAATAACCCTTTTTCTTTCCTGTTCTCAACCAATTCTTTTGTTCTCTGATGCCCCTTAATATCCTCATACAAAACGTTTGCAAACTTATGAATTCCTTTGGATATTTAGAGGCCTTCCCTCATTTATTATTCATTTAATAATACAATAATAAAAGTTATCACTGAAACTTATTTGGGATCCAGAAATTTAATTGATGAATTTTTAAATGGTTTTACATGAAAATAAAATAAACTCCTGATAAGAACCTTTTGACTCCCCCTCAACCTCTAGATATATGATTGATATCCTATGTTCAAAATTAAAAGAAACATTTTCCTAGCTTTCGAATAAAGTGTAATAGGGAAGTAGAATCAAAATTTTCTCAGTATCAGACAAAATAATCAGCATAAAATGTCATATTCACTTAACCAGAAAACAAACATATAAACAAATAAAGTGCTAAATTAAAAACCAGAAGTTTAAGTCCTTTTTATTACTTATGAGGAAGGCATTCCTAACTAAGCCAATGCAATCATTTTCACTAACATCAGAAGTTAGAGGATTATCAATAAACATTACTAGGTCTTTAAAAATACTTAAAAGAACAACTGATGTTTCCCACCTTCCCCCCACTGTTACTGCGTCACATAATGCACATCCACTGCAAACAGGAATAAAATTGCAGCTCTAACAAGATCTGCTTAAAAATAATGGGGACAAGGGTCTTCATTGGGGTAAGTTTTCTATGTGCCGTAGAGCAGGATGTGCATGTCATGTCTGTAGATGAACTGAAAAGCAGCAACGCAGTAGTGTGTCGTGTTTAGGACACAAACATCGAAGGAGGAACATGAGTCAGAAGCACCGTTTTTTTTCTTTTCTAAAACCCACATGCAGTCATTATTTCAGCTGAAAATTGATGCAAAAAGGACAGGTGGTATTATGTCTCCCTGTTAAAGGAAAACTTTTTTCTTAATATTTTCACTGTGGTTAAGCTTTTAAAAAAATTAGAGGATTCACTCCCTTTGAAGTTCATTTTCTAAAATAAGACCGAAGCAGGGAAACTGAAAGTATTATAAAAAACCAAGATATTAATAATCGATTTTAAAAGATTTACAAAAATTATTTATAAAGATTTAACAAGCTCATATAAACTTTACAGATAAGCTTCACCTCAACATAGATACTATCTTCCAAATGTTAAACATTTTCAAGAGAGCAGGTTTACAGGAATTACTTATGTACAAAAGCAGGCTTCAAAAAAGTTGTGGGAAAATTCCACTATCTTCTAATTTCATTTTGTATGAACTTTTTAAAGGCTCCTCAGATGGATCAAGCATTCTTAAAGAATGCTAGATAAATGCCAAATGTAATTTGATACATAAGTTTTCATTCTTATTTGAAATTAATCTCATTTAATGAAAAGATACTTTCCGAGTAAGGAATATACTCAAATGGATATTTTTGTCCATAATGTCATGTACATATTTTTTACTTTTGATGACCAATTAAAAAATAGCAGAGGCTTTAACACCATATGCAAAGGAGCACAGTAAATACTTGTTATTTCTATAATATTTCAAACAAAATTGAATTCATTAATATTGGAATCATTTGTATTTAAATCTCTATTTGAAAAAGTATATTGGAGGTATAATTATTTTAAAATGTTTAAAGTCATTGAAATGTAAATATTATTAAAACTAACATCAATGACATATTATACTGGAGTGCTTAAAATAACTAGAATGTCATTGATGACCTATATGCTTAACTCTCAAATACATTTTATTCCAATTAAGTTTTTCCCACTTACTTTTGCTGATAAAAAGGGAATATTTTAAAATTAGCTCATCTAAACCTGTATGAATTTAAAGAACAAAGCTAGTTTAATTAAAACAAACACCAAACTACTAGAAATCATCATCTACCAAATATAAAAATTTAAGAATGTTGCAACCTCAAAACGTAATAAAAATATTTGTGTAAAATGTACATTTAAAGTAGAGCTGTAAAAATTTCACTCGTATCCACATACATGTATAACCTTATAACCAGAAGTACTAAAAACATTCTAATTTAAGAATGGTCCATAATTTCATAAATAAAAACAAACTAAATATCATAGAAAAGTGTAACAAAAACTATTAAAACAAAGGCGCTCTTATAAACAACATGGAAGAAGTTGTCAAATTTATATTCATTTTGCTGCCTTAATTTGAGGTTTCATTAAGATCTTAATGGAAAAAACATGCACCACTAGTGAAGTAACGTATTTTAAAGGAGGACTTTTTAGTCTAGTATAAGTGACTAGAAACGGGTTTCTTGTGAGCTAACGATGGCATCAAACAAACCACAAAGCAGTCTTCTAAAAGACAGGCAATGATTTAAAAGTCTACTATATTTCATAGATCCCTTTCTTTAATCTGGCTCTTTTAATCTTGTTTCAACCTCAAATCATTTCTAGTTGACAAGTGCTTTTGCTTAAGGAGCACACAAGCTGTTGAAGGAATGGGCTTTTCTCATTTAGCATGCAACATTTGTTATTCCGTCTTTATTCCCATGCTAAGACTTCGATCTTTATTAGCATACTAAAAGTCTTTTCTTTGTACTCAGATTAAGGAATTTATCCTTATTTTATCTAATTTGTCCTAAATTTAGTCTACAAAGGATATTGTCATATGTTGACTGTCATTTAAAAATCAACCCCTTACTGTTAGTGCAAGTAAGATCCATATAGCTATTTGGTGTACTAGGTAGAAATTTGGTTAATATAAACTAGAGAGATTAAATTGGTTTGCATGGAATTTATTCTCATCGGTGGCACGAATTTACTTAAGATGGTTTTGTAGTAGGGGTCCTCACAATGCTGCTACATTTTCAAGGAAGAAATTTCTCTGTTCTTTTGTTTTTATGATACTTTAGTCTTCCCTGATAATGACATGTTCAGATGTTCGTACAGTATACGGACACTGAAATTAATTTATAGCAAGATAAAATCTACCTTAAAGAAAAGCTATGTTTCACTTTGTCCAAAAGAGAAAATATGGTTTCTTTTTCCTAGAGAGAACAGTTCTCAGTAGCAGTTAGGAGAATTGCACATCTAAGGACAGAACACGTCTTAAGTAGTTTGACCAAATCTGCAAATCTGATATCCCTTACATTCCTCCAAATTTTCTTCTAGTTCATATATTCTAGCATAAAATCCACAATCTAAATGAAAGAGGTTTTTCCCCCCTTTAAAAAATAGTATACTCTTTTTCTTCTATAAAACAAAAAAGTGAAAGAAAAAGCGCGAAACAGTTGTAGTTAATTAACAATTATTGAACACTACGTGCCAGACACCATTCTGAATAATTTAAATATACCTACATATACATATATAAATTTAATTATCACCATGGGCCTATGAGGCAAGTGCTGCAACTATCTTCACTTAAGAAACAAAGATATTTAGGAAATAACTAAAGAATGTATAGGGGCCAGTGTGAGAGCTGGGGTTTTAAACTCAGAGAAGCTGGCTGCAGTGCCTGCACACTTAGCCATTGGGCAGAACACAGTAAACCAAGTTTGTAAACATCTACCATCAGCTTTTACATATGATAGTAAATATACTGTTTCTTCACTATAATCATGTTCAAGACTAACAAAATTCTAGGTTATAATGATTATAAAATAATTTACTAAAAAAATTTACTAAATGAATAGGTGTCTGTAGATAGTGCTAATTATTCCAAATAAGTTATTTAAACATTTTTATGTGAAATATAAATAACCTTACTATAGATATCTCCTAAAATACCCAAGCTATTCAAAACAGAATTGTTTTCTCTTTGGGGGACAAATCAAATGCAGTTGTTGTTGTTGCTGCTGTTAGGTACAATAAAACATAATACAGTAAGAGGGCATCTTTGGCATACCTTAAATCGTCATATATTTTGAAAGAAATCACATCCTCAAATGATTGCATATACTCAGCATTAAAGGTACAAAGCTTCGATCACTGTAATACACACTACTGTAAACTTGAGTGTCCACTTTGATAGGTCACAAATGTCAACATCATGAGCAGATTCCTGTTTGCTTTAACACTGATTTTTTTTAAGCTTTTAAAGGAATGAAGTAAAACTAATAATTTTTTTAAGCTAAAGCATCAACATTCATGTCCCACCTACAAATGATTGAGTAATTCTGTGCATCTCTCTGTGACCAGGCCATGCACTGAAAACAAAACTACGAACAGAGTTACGCTTTGAGAGTACAGTAAATGAATTAGGCATGCGGGACGGAACTGGGACTCACCATGGAGCTTTTATGGAAAAACACCCCGCTCCAAACAGATAAGGCCTTCATGGAAAAGGGGGGAAAATGCACAAAAAAATTAGAGGAAAGCTCATATAACATTAAGAAATACAGTGTATATCATACTGTTAAGAGTATGGATAAAAATAACCAAAAAATAAGAAAACTCATTTGCAATGTTTCTGTAGATACAAACAAATCAGACAAAACTGATAAACAAAATAATGTGTAGCAACAAGGCCCTTAATTTTCATAGAGGTAGGGATTTAAATTTTTTCCATTTCTCCCCCTTTTCTGGAGCACCCCCGTAGGACTCCTAAGTTAAAATAAAATGAAAATTCACTACTGATGCTCGTTTAAAACAAAGTACAAGTTAAATGGAATAATCAGATGGAGAAAAGTGTGGGGTCAGTAGCAACAGATGTGTGACTGCATGACACAATAAGTTTATAACTGAAGGCTGATTTTAAAATGTGAAAGCGTTGTTTGTTGCTCACTAGTTAACTGTCTTCAGCATACATATATATGTGTGTATATATTTTAATCATTTTATTGGGGCTTGTACAACTCTTATCACAATCCATCCATCCACTGTGTCAACATTTGTACATTTGTTGCCATCATCATTCTCAAAATTTTTGCTTTCTACTTGAGCCCTTGGTTCGGCTCCTCAATTTTTCCCCTCCCTCCTTCATGAACCCTTGATAAGTTATAAATTATTATTATTTTGTCATGTCTTACACTGTCCGATGTCTCCCTTCACCCACTTTTCTATTGTCCGTCCCCCAGGGAGGGGGTTATAGGTAGATCATTGTGATCAGTTCCCCCTATTCCCCCCTTCCCTTCCCAGTATCTCTACCCTCATTATTGGTCCTGAGGGGTTTATCTGTCCTAGGTCCCTGTGTTTCCAGCTCTGATCTGTACCAGAGTACATCCTCTAGTCTAGTGGGAATTGTAAGGTAGAACTGGGATCATGATAGTGGGTGGTGGGGGAAGCATTTAAGACCTAGAGGAAAGTTGTATGTTTCATCATTGCTATATTGCACCCTGACTGGCTCGTCTCCTCCCTGAGGCCCTTCTGTAAGGGGTATCCAGTTGCCCAGAGATGGGCTTTGGGTCTCCACTCGGCAGTCCCCCTCATTCACAATGGTATGATTTTTTGTTCTTTGATGCCTGATACCCAGCAGATATTTTTTAAACCTGCTTCTTTAGAGTAAGTTGAACTGTATAATGCTGACCAACGAACACACACTAACTATAAATAGCATAAACTCTCCATTTTTGGTCACAGTCCAGGAAATCTGCATGTCTGTTAACAAAGTTACAAGAGGTTAAGACTTCTCTACCTGACCTGGAATGGGCGATGTTGGAATACAGTAAAATATAACCCCCGACTGTTTTAAGTACAACTTGAGATATAAAGTCAGGCTTCAAGATCACACATCTCTCCTTAAAACTCTGTTCAGAGCACAGAAGAACTGCTATGCGTATTGGAGCACAAAACCACTAGCATCTGACATTTACGAGGCATAACAAATGGAAGAAGAAGCACACTGGTAAAAACCTGAGTACTTCCTCCTTCAAATTTGATGCTAGCAACAACAGAAACTGAGCATTTCTCTCTGAGAGCTGAATATACTTAATCACAATTTGAAACTTAAGGAAAATGTTTTCATGAAACATTTATCAGAACAGAAAAGAAAAAGAAAAACCATCAGAGTTCTTTCAGCACTTTCAAAACCACTTGAGAAAACTGAGAGCACCTAACAGTCCACTCTTTAAACAGCACAATGGTCCCATGTAGAAATGATCAGAGATTTCAAGCCATTCTTATAGGCTGCATAAAAGCATCCAAATGAGAAGGTTTTTGTGGGCACACACATCCATTCACTGTTGATTTTACTTCATTAGGCAGGACCCCTGAAATCACTAAACAGTCCAAAAGATCGCTCTTGCGTACTGTATATACAATGGGGTACCACCCCCAAGATTTGAAATTTTTTTTCAAAGGTGTATAATTAAATTTTTTTATCAAACAACTTTATCACCCACAAAGTACTCTCCGTTAGACTTCTTCATTTGTCAAATCTGTGATTTCATTCTTGGAAACATTTTTCAAAATCATCTGTTGGGGATGGCTGACAGCACCTCCCTCGTGTTTTTTCTCTTCATTTCTTCTATGTAGTCAAAGCACTGTCCTTTCATGTTCCTCTTCATTTGTGGAAACAAAAAGAAGTCTCATGGAGCAAGGGCAGGGGAGTAAAGTACGTGGGGAAAGAGAGGCATGCTGTTTTTTGCCTAAAACTGGCGCACTAAGACGGCTTCATAAACAGATACACTGTTGTGGTGGCAAACGCAGTCCCTGTCTGCTACAAATCAGGCCTTTTTTTGTCACACACTTTTATGCAATCTTTTCAGAACCTTGAAATAGAAAGCTTGATTAACAGTCTGACCTGGTGGAACGAACTCCAAACACACTACAAGTCTACATTTTTGTCCATTCAGGACATTGACAGATGTCCAGAATGAGGTTTGTTATCAACTGACATTTCAGCTTTTTAAAACCAGGAAACTCCTTGAACACATGGGTTTTTCCCATAGCGTTGTCCTTGTAAGCTGTGTTCAACATCACAAAGTTTCTGGAGCATTTTTCCTGAGCAGGAAACAAAATTTCACAGACACATGCTATTCTCCTAAATCGGCCATCAAAGAGAACCTTCCCAGGTGACGCCACTGGGTGCACTAACTCAGAGCAAGTTGCTTGATGCTCACCTAGGGGAAAATGCGTACTACAAAAGCTCTTGGAGTTCTTTGGTGTGTTTTTTTCCTTGTTGGTTTGTTTTTTTAGGGTACCCTCTCATTTAAGAATTAAGTTGATTTTCAGTAAATAATTTGAAAACTTTATCTTAGGCCTTTAAATGCTTTCTTTGAACATCAAAAATAAATCCAACAAAGAAAATTGCAACAAAGCCTTAGTAGCTCTCCAACAGTACAATTCCACAATTTAGAGCTCAGAGGTACAGGGAAAAGAATAGAGAAAGAAGAGTGTATTGACTGGGACATAAAGTTTAAATATGAGGGGGCTTCAAAATATCCATGAAAAAGTTTTTGTGGATAAATACCATTACCTTCTAATTCCACTTTTCCACGAACTTCTTGAAGCCTCCTTGTATATAATACAATAAAAACTGTACTATAATTTGTATAAGATAAATAGAAACTGTGGTGAAATATGTAGTGCATTGGAGTGCTGTCGATAGGCTGGCAGTTCAAACCCACCAGCAGCCCCAGGGGACATAGCTTTCTGCTCCTGTAAAGAAAGCCAGCTTTGGAAACCCATGGGGGTAACTCTACTCTGTCCAATAGGGTTGCTGTGCGTGAGTCAGAAGGGACCTGATAGCAGTGAGCTTGGTTTTGAGTTTTTTGGTATAAGGCAGAAACTAGTCAGAGAAAGAAAACTAAAAACACATAAGACCGAAAGGACTGACAGAAAAACAGTAGGGCTAAACCTGCAAAAGGTGGAAAATTTGTAAGATCAGGGTATTGGAGAATCACACAGTTTACAGACCCTCATTAGATGCAGCATGCAGCAAGCAGGGACAAGCGCTTCCCACCAAGCCCTAGAGATTAAAAAGAAAAGGGGGAAAAAAAAAAAGTGGACACTCTACTAAAGGGCTTCAACAATTTTGTGGGAAAATGGAATTAGCAGACAAGAGAATGTTTCCACAAACTTCTCAAAGTTCCCTCATAAGATAATGAAAGGGTTTTTAAGAATGAATCTCTTAGGCTTCTGTTTTCTAGGGAATAAGTGATACTAATAAAGGAATCTCTAGTCCTTTCCTTGCTCCACAATCCCAAAAGGCACTGTAGCTCTCTAGACATGGTAGCAAACAGGCCTGTAAGAACTAGCACCTCTGCCAAGCTTAAAGACAAAAAGGGTCTCCCTATGCTGCCACATGAGTTAAAAGTGATCCTACTTCACTCAAGCAAGGATCTACTGGCTCACACGGGACAGGAAGCTGACGAGGAGCTGCTTGGGTATGCACTTTTGGCATACTCCCAAACTACATTCACCCACATTCTTGTCTTTTCCCTCCCTCCTCCTACAAACTGGACTTCTGCCACATGTATGTAAAAGAAGACCACAAACACCAAAGAATTATAGTGACTGACGGAACTGCTGACTTTGTATGGTTAGTGTCAGCTGTTCTTTTGAAATGTGCCTGCTTCATCTTTGCTCAGTAGCAAAAGAATGAAAATATAAAGTCACACAGGACAAGTCCATGATCCAGCTGCTTTCACCTCTGACTCCCTCCTCCCCCTCCAAAACCACACAGTCCTAGTTTTGTGCTGGAGTGGGATGGGGGCGGGAAAAGAGGAAGAGAGTATGTGAAGAGGAGGATATGCTGAATTAAAGATTGTCTCTATTGGCATGTGAAAATAAAACTATTCTACCCAGACCTTAAGAATCTTACCATATTTTAGTAAATTTTACCAGTTCTGCGATAGATAACTTGTTCCTTTGGTCACAGTATGTCTATTTTCAGCTGAGTTCTGACTGAAAAACTCTAGAACTGGTTAAAGAGGATGGAAACCCAAAAATATTTATTATGGACTTATTTATAGGCCACTGTGAAATGGTGTGCCCATTGGTTCTCAAAGGGTTGTTCCTGGGAATGCTCAGGAGATAGGGAAGAATTATGTTTTATATCATACCATGATGGCTGTGTCAGTCTTCAAACTCTGATTCATGTGGTTGAATGTCACCAAGCACAGACACTACACCACAAAGTCTTTGGTCTTACTAACCAAAAAGAGAGCAAATGTCAAGTCTTTGAAAATGCAAGAACAAAAAGAAAACTTGATCTGAACACGCTCACTGCCTATAACCAAGCTGGAGGGTCACTAGGAGCCAGAATCGGCTCAATGGCACCGAGTTTGGTTTTTCATTTAGCTCTGATGTTAAAAATACATACCAATGCTACTCAATCATTTTCTGAGACACAGAGGTTGTGTAAGTCAGACATTTTTTGGAAGGAATATAT